TTTTGAGACACACTTGCTCTGTCACCCAGGCTGGAGTGCAATGGCGTGATCTCAGGTTACTGGAACCTCTGCCTCCCAGGTTCAAGTGATTTTCCTGCCTCAGCCTACAGAGTAGCTGGGATTATAGGCACGCGCTACCACACCTGGCTAATTTTTGTATCTTTTAGAAGAGACGGTGTTTCACCATGTTGGCCACGCTGGTCTGGAACTCCTGACTTTGTAATCTGCCTACCTTGGCCTCCCAAAGTGCTGGGAATACAGGCGTGAGCCACCGCGCCCAGCCAAGACCTCATTTTTATAAACAAAGAAGACTTATGCTGTTACCTTGACCTCCTGCCAATAGGGACCCCCGCGGGTGAACATGAAGTAACTATACAGCTGATTCTTCCTCTGGATGAAATCTGTGTCCTGTATGATATTCACCATCCAAGGCCGACCATCCCCACGTACACGGAGATACAGAGTATTGAACTGGGTCCAATCATAAGGCTTCTTCCTCTCAAAAGCACCCTAAGATAATGAAAGAAAAGTTACCCTAAGATAATGAAAGAAAAGTTAATTGTACCTCATTCTCCACTATTAACAAAATATTAGTCATCACCAAGTCAGTATCATCAACAGGATTCACTATTTTTCTTTTTTGACTTTCTGCCCCATAAGGAGGCAGATAAACCCGCTGATTATTATTTTAGCACAAAATACTGACATAGTTACATGTTTCGAAGGTAATGTACAAAACACGACTGGCCCAGGACAATGTTTTTACATGGGGAAGGCACTCACCTGTGTTCACTAAATGGAAATGAATGTATTTCCTCTATCAGGTCCCTATGGAGCAGTGGCTTCTGAGTGGCCTATTTTATGACAACTGCCTTTCCACAGATCAGAAAACTATGAAGAATACGGCTTCAGTTTTAAAAGTGGTATTTAACAACAGCATCCATTAAATATTTGCATTAATCAATTTACATGCATAATTTAATCCTCACAACAGCGCTATGATAGGTTAGTAACATCTTACCCCATTTTACAGATAAAGAAACTGAGCTAACAACTGGTATATTCAGCTATGAAGTGGTATATTCAGTGCTGTTTAACTCCAAATCTGTGTGCTTAACAACAATCTATACTGCCTCTCTCTTCAAAAGTACAATTTGGTGTTCATTTCCAACAGCAGTTATAGCAATCTCAAGGCTACTCAGATGTCAAGAATACCAATGTCTAGATATGAAGTAATATTTATTAGCTGTTTAACTTTGGACAAGTTACTAAATTTCTCCAAGTCTGTTTCCTCATCCATAAAATCGGGATGATCTTACCTCAGGGGACTGTTGTGAGAAATAATAACGTATATAAAGTGCTTAGCACAATGACTGGCAGGACATACTTAATAACTGTTATCTTCTATTTTCATTATTCCAAAATGAGTATTTGGGCCGGGTGTAGTGGCTGACACCTGTAATCCCAACACTCTGAGAGGCCAAGGCGGGCAGATCACCTGAGGTCAGGAGTTCAAGACAAGCCTGGTCAACATGGTAAAACCCCGTCTCTACCAAGAAATACAAAAATTAGTCAGGAATAGTGGCACATGCCAATATTCCCAGACTCTCAGGAGGCTGAGGCATGAGAATTGCTTGAACACAGGAGGCGGAGGTTGCAATGAGCCAAGATCACACTACCACAATCCAGCCTGGGTGACAGAGTAAGACTCTGTCTGGAGGTCTGAAGTTAGAGACCAGCCTAGTCAACAAGGTGAAACCCCGTCTCTACTAAAAATGCAAAAATTAGCCAGGTGTAGCAGCGGGCGCCTGTAATCCGAGCTACTCGGGAGGCTGAGACAGGAGAATCACTTGAACCCGGGAGGAGGAGGATGCAGTGAGCCAAGATCGTGCCACGCACTTCAGCCTAGGCAACAAAGAGCAAAACTCCCTCTAAAAAAAAAGGAACGAAAAAGAAAAACAAAGGATATTTGGCCATTGAGTTATTTTCTACTCTAGACTGACCAAATCCATTCTGAACATTTTTAGGGCCTATAAAAATCAAGCAGCTGTGTATCATTTGTTGAATCTGAAAGAACGTATGCCTTTTTCTCTTACTATTATATGGAGAGAAGGAGTTAATATTATTCCTGACATTTGCCTTTCTCCTAAAAGCACCAATATCCAAGCAAGCATTCCAGGAGCTGTGGCCAGGGACAGGCATAGAAGCCCGTCCAGGGCAGCCATGAAACAGGTCAGCAAAGTTCACAAAAAGTCAGAGGTTGCTGGGAAGACAAAGGAATTAATCTAAATAACTTTAGAAAACAGTGTCTTAACTGAGAACCACAAGATGAGAGACAAAATAAACTGTACATAAACACTGTAGTTAGTAAGTTGTTTCTTACAGGGTAACAAGCTAAAAATTCTGACACTGCTTTACGTATATACTAGGGTTGAATTAATAATAAATGGATAATAGATAGCAGTATACAGGTTTCTCACTGTTAGAGAGGGAAGTTACAAATAAGCAAGAGAAGAAAGGCTAGAATGAACCTTGCGGTACAGGATTAGAATCAGAGACAATAGTATGAATTCATGTTTAGTATAATATAGACAGAAATGGATAAATAATTACAGACATGCGTATATACACAGGTTAGTACACATATATCTATTTCCTAGCTGTGTCCACTAAAAGGACCTAGAAATAGTGAGAACCTAGTAGCAACAAGCATACACAACCCAGATCTTGGTGTCTAACAAAAAAACGTGAATCGGCATAACAAAGAACAAAATCACATCCTTTGCAGCAACATGGATACACCTGGAGGCCATTATCCTAAATGAATGAACTCAGAAACAGAAAACTAAAAACCACATGTTCTCACTTGTAAGTGAAAGCTAAACACTGGATATGTACAGACATAAATAGGGAAACAATAAACACTGGAGTTCCATAAGTGGGGAAGGAGTCAGTGGGGCAAGGGTTGAAAAACTACCAAATGAGTACTATATTCACTATTTGGGTGATGGGATCAATGAAAGCCCAAACCTCAGCAACATGCAATATAAACCCATGTAACAAACCTGCACATGCACCCGAGTCTAAAATTTAAAACAGTCAGGCACACTTTAGGTGACTGAGGCAGGAGGATTGCTTGAGCCCAGGAATTCAGGACAAGCCTGGGCAATATAGTGAGACCTCATCTCCACAGAAAATTTAAAAATTAACGAAGCATGGTGGCCCACACCTGTAGTCCCAGCTACTCAGGACGCTGAGGTGTGAGGATCACCTGAGCATGGGAGGCAGGGGTTGTAGTGAGCTGAGACTGAGCCACTGTGCTCCAGCCTGGACAACAGAACAAGACCCTGTATCAAAAAAATAACAAAAATAAAATAAAATTTAAAAACAGCCTGAGTGACATAGCAAGACCTCGATTCTACTTAAAAAAAATTATGCCAGTTGCAGTGGCTCATGCCTGTAATCCCAATACTTTGGGAGGCCAAGTTGGACAGATCACCTGAGGTCAGGAGTTCAAGACCAGCCTGGCCAACATGGTGAATCCCCGTCTCTAAATAAATTAGTATGATGGAGGGTGCCTGTAATCCTAGCTGCTCAGGAAGCTGAGGTGGGAAAGTCACTTGCACCCAGGAGGCAGAGGGTGCAGTGAGCTGAGCTCGTAACAGCACTCCAGCCTGGGTGATAGACCAAGACTCCGTCTCAAAAACAAACAAAAAAATTAGCCAGGCATAGTAACACAAGCCTGTATTCCTAGCCACTTCATAGGTTGAGGTAGGATCATTTCACCCCAGATATAGAGGTTTCCATCAGCTATGATCATGCCATTGCACTCCAGCCTGCGTGACAGAACCCATATTTCAAAAAGAAAACCTTGGCTGGACGAGGTGGTGTAAGCCTGTAATCCCAGCTACTCAGGAGGCTGAGGCAAGAGAATAACTTGAACCTGGGAGGCAGAGGTTGCAGCGAGCCAAGATCGCGCCATTGCATTCCAGCCTGGGTGACCGAGTAAGACTCCATCTCAAAAAAAAAA